AGCAAATTCAATGGACTTTTTTCACTGTGGGGAAATATACATGGTGTTTATTATTTCAACTGTTTGTGTACAGTTAGTGGCGTTAAATACTCACCACGCTATGTACCCGTCCCCACGCCCTACACCCAAAGCCTTCTTACCATTCCCAGCAGCAACCCTGCCCTCATTACACTCCCCTGTCCTGGCCCCGGGGCACCTCTACCATGCAGCTGTGTGTGTGGGGGGGCACCGCCTCTGGCCCCTCCCGAGAACGGGTCACACAGCAGTGCCCCCGGCCGGCTTCTGGCGCTCAACCCCGGGCTTTGGAGGCTCAGGCTCGTGCGTCACAGCCTGGGTCTTCATTCCCTCAGGGCTGGCGGCGGTGCCCAAGTCTGGCAGCGCCACGTGTTCTGTGTCTGTTCGTCTGGTGAGGGACACTCAAGCTGCAGCCACGACGGCCACCGCGAGTGCCCGCTACAACCCTTCCCTGATGAGCCCCTGCTTCCCCTTCTGCACCTGGGCCTCCAGGGATCCTGATCCTGACCCTCTCGCAACACCTTGCTCAGCCCTTCCCTTTCAGTGCGTGCGTCCATGCAGATTCTGCATAGACAGTGGTACCAGCTGCTGAGAAACACGCTCAGGGTTTTCCACTGTAATCCTATGTGTGTCTTCCTCCTGGTCTGGCTCCAGGCGCAGGGGGAGCTGTGAGGCTGGCCCTCTTGTGCTCTGCAGGCGGAGGGGACACCAGCTACACGGGACCCTAGGCCGAAGTGCTGCTCCAGGTGCTGGGAGATGTTCTGTACGGGTTTAGACAATTCTGTTATATTCCTGATTTATGAAGGTCTATTATCATGAATGGATGGTGCATTCTGGCACATAGGTAACTATTCAGATGATAATATGCCCCCCCAATCTGTTGATGTGAGAAATCACATCAGTTTTGAGCCAAATTGGCCTTCCTGAAAGAGGCCTCATCTGGCCGCGGTCCACGCTCTGCTCCTGCCCTGCGGGACAGGGTTTGCCCGCCCCGTGCTCGGAGCCTCTGCCGCTGAGAGCACGGACATCCTGGCTGTCCCAGCTCATAAAATAAGGTGAGGTGTTTCCTCTTTTCAATCTCTGAGTCTGTAGAGGACCGGAATGGGTTCTTGAACTCACTTGTGCGCCATCTGGACTTGCATTCTTTGGGGAAGACTCTAGACTCCAGACATACTCTGTGCGGCGGGCACGGGGTCTCGGGCCAGCTTCCCTACCTCATCTGTGCTCATGTTCCCTGGCTCTGAGTTTTGTCTTTCCTGATCTCTGACGTACCTGCTGTCACATCCCCTTTGCATTCGTGATGGTTTGGTGGCTCCTGCTCTCTTCCTGGATGCTGCTGCTGGGCAATGTCAGCTTGAACAGTCCTTGTGAGCAACCAACGTCCACCGGTCTCCTGCCCCAGACAGCCTCCGTTCCCACGGGCTGTGCTACTCTGCTACTCGTTATTTCCTCTCTGCCACTTTGCATTTGTTTTTTTTTTTTTTTTAATGTTTTTATTTATTTATTTATTCATGAGAGTCAGAGAGAGAGAGAGAGAGAGAGAGAGAGAGAGAGAGGCAGAGGCAGAGGGAGAAGCAGGCTCCCTGCCTAGCAGAGAGCCCAGTGCGGGACTCGATCCCAGGAACCTGGGATCATGACCTAAGCCGAAGGCAGACGCTTAACCATCTGAGCCACCCAGGCGCCCTGCCACTTTGCATTTGTTACGCTGTTGTTTTTATAACTTCTGATTTCTAGCTCATCCGTTGACGGGACTGAAGCTCTTAGGGCTACATGTCCCCGTGTGGCTTCAGTGGCCCAGAGAAGCTCTGACGAGTCCTATTTTCAGTGTCAGTGAGGTCTGAGTGTTTTATAGCTCTCATCATGTTTTTTTTTTTTTTTTTTAAATTTGAGTCAGGTTATTGAGAAGGTTTTCTTTTTCCTAGCATAGGAGTTTTATTTGAAGAACAACAGAAATCCCTCGAAGCTGCCTGAGCGACAGGAGGCAGAAAAGGCCACTCACTGATTTGAGTTTGATTTTGTGATTCTTCTCATGACTGTAAACTATATTCAAAAAAGAATTTCCAAGTCTTAATTTTTAAAAAAGTATTTTTCTGTGGCTCTTTTCCGGGCTGATGCAGCCTTCCTGGGAGAGGCACTGAGGGCTGTCAGCCTGCACAGCCGCCTCCCATGCCTACAAGCAAATGTCGGCCTTGCTAAGAACACAAACACATGGCAAGAAGCTCCACACCCGACGCAGGGCTCGAACTCATGACCCGGAGATCAAGAGTTCCAAGTTCCACCCACTGAGTTGGCCAGGTGCCCCCAGAGCTGACATTCCTAAAACTCTTGGGGGGAGTCAGCCCTGCACCTAGGACTTCACGTGCTGACTCACTGAGTCAGGTTAAGCATCCCCATGTCACGCCTGAGGAAATGGAGGCAGCACGAGGAGGTTAAGGGACATGCCCCAAGTCCCACATTGCCAAAAGGCACTGGCTCAAGTCGCTAAGGCCTGGCCCAAGAGCCTGTGTTCTTCACCACCCATCTCCTCTCTAGAAACCAAAGCCATGGGGTCAGAGTGCATTTCCCTCTCTTCTAACAAACTGGCAATGATGAAGACCCACCTGCCTGCTGCCGGAGAGGCCAGGGCATGCCTGCTGTCCGTGTGCCGCAGCGGCACCCAGCCCACACAGCTCCGAGGATCTCCACCTGGCATTCCGTGTCTGGGGACCCATCCTGTTGGCCTGAAATGCAGAAAAGGTATTTATCTCAGCATTATTTATAAGACCCGAAACCAGAAACAGCCTCATGCCCGTTAGGACACAGTCAGCCTCTGCTCACCACACCTGTAGGCAGCGGTGTAGACCATGCATGTTAGGGACGGGGAAACGGGCTGTAACATGTGATACAGATCACACAGCGAATGCTACACGGGAACACACGCGTCCTGGTGTGTCAGAGGGCCGTAGTAAAGACAAACCAAACCACGCCGAAGAGGACGCAGACACCCCTGGACGTGTGTGCCATGTCCACAGCCCGCGCTCCGGCACCCAAGATGGGCACCAGGGCTCACTGCTCAGAGCCCCTCCGCGGCCCTCCCAGGGTGTCCTTCGGCTTCCTGCGCCCGGCTTCGCCCCCAGCAGGCAGTCCTGGAGGACTTGAGCGCACATGGGTCGGGCTGACTCTCACGCACCCTCCATCTACGGCAGGCCCAACACGGCCGCCGCTGGTCACTGTAAATACAGCTTTGGTGGCACACGGCCAGGCTCATTCACTGTGTGTTCACTGCTGTCACATGTCACAGCGGAGTTGAGCGGGGACAGAGGCCTTAGGGCCGCAAGGCCAAGAACAGCTACTATCTGGCCCTTTACAGAAAATGTCTGCCAACCTCGCTCCGGGTTCAATTTGCTTCATCACTCAGTGCGGATACATGTCTTGTTACTCTGTTACTCTGCTGAACATTTGACAGTAAAGTGCAGACATCATGACCCTGTGTCCCTGAAAACCTTAGGGAGCATCTTTCACAAGGACGAGTTCTGGGATGGCCACAGGCTGCAATCTAAGCAGGAACTTGGAAACTGATGCAGCTCTGCCACCCAGTGGACAGTGTGGACACAAGGTTTGCGGAATGTCCTAGTAATGTCCTTTACCATACACTGTGCGTCCCCCTGGATCTCCTGCCACACCTAGGGCGAGCTGCGTCAGGTGGGAGGGCCCGCTGCGCTGGGGAGGGGGCGCAGGGGTGCCCAGCTCAGGTGTCATAACATCACAGGTTTTAGAAAGAACAGGAGCAAACCCTTGCCAACCTGGAGAAGCATTTCCACTGGGAGCATCTGCCCTCTGGTGTCTGTGACCCCCTGATGGAGAAACGGGTCTCCCCCCGATTCAGGACCTTCTTGCAGGATGGAATCCCCAAAGAGTAAGGCTATCTTGGGGGTCCAAACAGCTGAAAGTGTAGGCATCAACATTTTCCTAGTACAAAGCCCCATTACCTCCTGGTTGATGGTCACCGGGTCCCCCTTACACTGTCAGAAGTTCTGGGACACACCGCACCACTCTGAGAGCACAGGGCCCCATCCAGACCACTCTGGGGGGAAACCAGGGCTGGGCATAGCATGTGGCCTTGCCCGGGGGATAAGATGGAACTTGGGGGCCAGGCATGAGGAAGTGAAACTAACCTGGAGAGCCGATCCCTGGGGGGCAGGGCGCACTGCCTCATGTCTGAAGACCCCTGTGGCAGATGCAGGCTGGCTCGAAGCTGCCCTCACATCCTTGGGGCCTCCATCACATGTCCAGGGCGGGAATCTCCCACGGTGGCAGTATGTAGGTCCTGAGCGATCCACCTGGGTGAGTCAGGCCGCTCACCTGGGACGGGGGCTAGGCCAGGGGGATGCACAAAGGGTGCAGTTCCTGGGGATGGGGTGGGGGATGGTGCTGGCACCACAGCCCGAGGAGGGAAACCAGAGCACAAACCACTGTCACCATGGCCAGCCGAGTGGGGACAGCAGGTGTCTGGTGCAGCGCCGTGGGCACAACCGCAGAGCACTGCTACCTAGCTCAGGGCCATGGGCCTCCTGCCAGGCTGCACAGGGATGACCCGGCAGGTCAAGAGTCTGCAGACTCAAGTCTTCAAAGGAGCAGGTGAGAGGGCTGAAACCACAGTGGACACCACAGGCAGAGGCCGCAGAGGGGGGTGCTGGGCTGCTCACAAGCAGCTGCTGCCTCGCGAGCCCCACAGACAGCTGTTGATATCCCCAGAGTCTCCTGTGCCGCAAGCCCCTCCCACGTTATCACGGTGTCTTGATCCAGAGATGCTCTGGACCACAAAGGTCTTTACCATGCTCAAGCACTCGCTTACTGCACTGGGTGGATTTTCCTGATGATGAGGGGGATGCCCGGGCACAGGTGCGCTGAGCTCACGGACCCCCAGCATCGATCAGATGCTGAAGGAGGAACGGCTCCCATCAGCACAAACACCGTGTCTCGGGTGGCAGACAGCTTCCCCTCACTCAGTGCTTCTTCCGTGGGTGACGCTTCCGATGGCGAATGAGACATGAGCTGTAGGCAAAGGTTTTCCCACATTCCTTGCACTCATACGGCTTCTCTCCAGTGTGCGTCTTCTGATGTTTTAGGAGATTGGAGCCGCAGTTAAAGGCCTTCCCGCACTCGCTGCATTTAAAGGGCTTCTCTCCAGTGTGGATTCTCTGGTGTTTGGTGACATCGGAGCTGTGTCTGAACATCTTCCCACACTCCTCACACCTGAAGGGTTTCTCTCCCGTGTGAACCCTCTGGTGGCGAAGGTGGTCTGTCTTGTGCTTGAAGATGCGTCCACACTCGCTGCACTCATAGGGCTTCTTTCTCTGAAAAGGAATGAAGACGGGAACCCCCTCAAAGTCATCTTTAAACGAAGCGTCAAAGGCATCAAATACGTGTCCTTCTTCCTCGGGACTCAGGCTGGCTTCCTTGCTGTGCTTTTTCGCCAAAGTGGACTTCTTGTTTGCCTTTTTCTCCCCAGATGCTTTCTCTGCTTTGGGAGTGTTCTTCAGCCCATCTCCTTCTTCCTTTGGGGTCTGTGCCTTCTTTTTGCCCGAGGGCTTTTCCATCTTTCTTTGTTCCCAGGAGAGAGGAAGGGCCACTGGAATCCAGGAAGGGCTAAGGAGAAAGGCCAGGGGCCAGACTCTCCTATTGTTCCGAAAGCTCTCACTTTAGTCACAGCTCTTCATTTTTCTGAGCTTGTAACGAGACCTCTGGAGCAGGAAGCCTGCACCAGAGAGGACACCACCAATCCTCGTGCTGCCGGAGAAGCCAGACCATGAAGGTTAGATCACAGAGGTGTGCGGGAGGAACAGAGCTGTGGTGCAGCGGCTAAGGCACGGATGGGGGGGGGGGCGGACAGGGAACGTGGCCCCTTCCCTGCTTGTGTGCTCCCCTTGGACACCTCATGGGCCTCTCAATGAGGCTCAACAAACAGCCTGTTCTGTTTGGACATGACCAAACAGAACACTCACTCTAACCCTCTCCCCAGGGATGGGGTCTCCAGGCCTGTGTCCAGTGGGGTCTGATACAGACCATGGACCAACAACTCCATGTGGTCCCCACATTGAGGTTTTTTCCCCCCACCGTTTTCTCCCTCCTTCTCCACTTCCTGTATTTAGGACCAGAGGATGTGCTTTTGGAGCTGCAGGACCCACATGTGCCCCTTTGGGAGTTACGCTGTCACCTAGAGCCTGGATCTGAGATGGATCAAACTTGGGGCACCCCAGCCCTCCTCCCATGGTCCACCTCCATATGGCAGCCAGCAAACCCCTATCATGTACCTGCCCCGACCCCCAGTGGCTCCCCTCATGCTTATGAGCCCTATACATGCCTGACCTGGCCCACTCCTCACTCCCCTCCAGCTTCCTTTAGGCTCCTCAAACATACCTAGTCCTTCCTGCCTCAGTGCCTGGCTGATTCCAGAAATTGGCCAAGAGCAGGTGTTCATGGGGCTGGCCGCTTACTTCAGAGCTCTGAATGGGCCCTTCTCAGGGAGGCCTCCCTGACTCACCAAACACTGCCGCCACTCCTTGTTCCCTACCCGGGCTCTAGTCTTCCCTGGGGCCCTTAACCAGAGCCAACTCCTCCATCAACTAGATCTTGTGTACACCCTCTGAAACACCTGATGTTCCCTGTCCCTAACTCCACCTAACAGCACCCAATTCCACCACAAATTCAAACAGGACCCAACAGTCCCCGGTGTCTGTAGGAGCATCACCCACACAGCTCCTAGTTCTTCGTTGAGATCCCTCTTCTATTTCGTTTCTGTATTATTCCTGAGCTTCCTTGCCCTGTCTTCTCTCACTGCTAACTAATGGAATTCCAGCATCAAGCCTGGAGCAACTTCAGACTAACTGCTAGTGAGGGAGATCTCCACAACACTGAGAAGCCTTCTTTTTTTTAAAGAGAAAGCTCCAAAGGCAGGTCCTGTTCTGATCTTCCAACATTCCCTGCAAACAGCGCTCTTAGCAAAGGTATCTTGTGGCCTGTGACGGCTACCCTGATCTACTAGGAGGCCCATAACCCTGACAGGCTGTCTCACCCCAAAATGTGATGCCCTAGGTGATAATATTCCCAGTGATGTATTTTTCTTTGAATCTTCTTTTCCATCCCATTTATTTACCATCAACATTTTAATCTGGGTGTCTTTATGACTCTTGTACATGACAACAGTGTAGCTTTTTTCTCTTTTTTTAAGTAAGCTCTATGCCCAACTTGGGGCTTGACTCAAGACTCCAAGATCAAGAGTCACAGCCTCCATGGACTGAGCCAGCCAGGCACCCCCAAGTGGTCTTAAGGTATAAATACTTTGAACTCTCTTAAAGTCAAAAGGGTACACTTGGTCTTTCCTCTTCTCCCCCATGCAGAGGCAATAATAAAATGACTGTCGAGATTTCCCATCCTGACAAGGAGTTTGAGAGTCTGGCTTCTAAATAAAAATGTTTAGGTACACTTGGTCTGGATTCAGGCCGATGTCGCCCCGAAGGCTCTACTTGAGGCAGGTTCTGGGAAGAGGCCGCTCTCAGCATCAGGTGGGAGCCTGAACTGAGGGTAAAGGAAGCTCATCTGGGCTGAGAGGAGCATGCAGGGCCCTCTGCTGGGGAGGGCAGAGGATCACGGCACCAGGCAAGTACACTGGAGTCAGAGGCTGGTGTCTAGTTTCGGGAGTAAACTGAGGAAAAACAGGAACTTCTATGAAGGCACCCTCAACCCTGTACCCACCCCCACTGGAGGGCGTGCGTGGGGTTCCTCTGCGCTTCCTGCCGGGACCGGCACTGAGGGCAAGGACCGCGGCTATTTCCTCCCTGCATCCCTAGCTACGACGCCAGAGCCAGCACGAACTGGTGCTCAGGAATCATTCTAGATCTTCGTCTCATCTACCCAATTCAAGCTGGCAGGTGCTTGACGGCAGAGAGCACACCAAGTTATAACAGTCAAAAACGGAGTAGACCCGAGGTCCTGGTCCCCCACTTCACAGGCCCGTAGACGGGAGTGCCTGCCGCAGCACACAGGCGCTCAAGCGACCTGCCTCAAGGGCTGGGGTGCTGTGCCCGCGGTGCAACTTCGGAGTAGCTCCTTTCCTCTCCGGGCCAGGCCTCCTGAACTCCAAGCTCTGCGTAGCCCCCGCAGCCGGGGTCCCTGGAAACCCCACTCAGGCTGGCCCGGCCCCCCGCCTTCAGAAGCCTGGGTCTCAGGGGGAGCCTGGATTACTAGCGGGTTTGGATCCAAAGGCACACATGCACCCCAACAGTCCGCCGGGCCCCCCGCCTGCCAGCAACCACGAGCTGTGTCGAGGCCGAGGAAAGGGGCCCCGACGGGCAGCACGATGCGCCCCCGCCAACGACAGGGCCTCGTCGGCCAAGCGTGCAGGGCCCCGGGGCGCCGCCTTCACCTCGATCCGCTCCGAGCTGCTCCTCGCCCTCCTCCCCGCAGCGCCCGGGAGGCGAAGGCGGGAAGGCCGCTGCCCTGGGCTGCGGGGCGGGTCCAAGCGACGCCGGAGGGAACCGGCGAGTCCCTAGCTGGAGGTCGGGGGCCCGGGAACGGACGGACCCTCGCCCAAGCCCGCCGCAGCCTCCCCGCGCCAGGGCTCCGCAGCCGCCCAGCCGAGCAGCCGGGTGGCGGCGCCCGCCGGGAGGCCCGCCCCTTCCGGCGCCGCTCTAGGAGGAGGGGCGCCGGGCCTCTCAGTGGTATGCCGGCGGACGGCTCCGCCCGGCTCGGCTTTCGTTTCCATTTCTGCAAGGGCCTCCTGGGGCACCCGCACCGCGGCCCCCGCCGGAAGCCCCGCCCCTCAGCTCTGCGCCCGCTCCCTCGCCCCGCCCGCCCCGTCCTCCCCTCCCTCGCGCCTGCGCCGTCACCCCTGCGCCCCTCCCTCGCCCCGTCCTGCTTTCTCTCGCGACTGCGCCCTCACCCCTGCGCCTCTTCCTCTCCCTCGCCCTGTCCTCCTTCCTTCACCCCTGCGTACCCTCCTCCCCATCCCGCCTCCCTCCTGCCTTTGTCCCCCTCCCTCGCCCCTGCCGCCCCTCCCTCGCTCCTGCCCACTCCCTCACTCCTCTCCAGGCCGCGGACTGCTTCTCACACACAGCACGTGCACTTGGCCTGTGTCCGGTTGCACTGGTGCCCCCTCGCCTGGGACGCTCCTCCCTGGCTGTCTGCCTGGCGCACTCCCACTCCCTGCCCGCTGAGAGCTCAGCAACTCGGTGGAGCCCACCTGCCTTCCTATGTGTATTCAGTTCCTGCTTCCCACAAACTTAGCTGCTTAAAACAACACCTGTTTGTTACCTGAGTTCCTGTGGGACAGGCATCCCGGCGTCCAGACACGGCTCAGCTGTCCTCTGCCTGGTCGTGTCAGGCTGCAGTCACGTATCAGCCGGCTGTGTTCTCAGCTGGAGGCTCAGCTGTGGAAGAATCCGCTTCCACACTCCCCTGCTTGTTGGCAGGTTGCGTTTCCTGGGGGCTGTGCTACCGAGGGCCTACTTCTTATTGGCTGTTGGCTAGAGGCTGGCCTTGGGCCCTAGTCGCCCCCCCATTCCCTGCCACGTGGCCCCCTCCATGGGCAGTTCCCAACATGGCTGCTTGCTTCTTCAGGGCCAGCAAGAGAGCCTCTCTCCCCGGTCTGCTCAGATGGAGTCTCGTAGAAGGCAGCCTAACCATGGGAGTGACCTCCTGTCACCAACATACAACGTGACCTAACTGCAGGACTGACATCCTGTCACCTCTGCCATATTGTGGTTTTGAAACAAGTCACAGGTGCCGCCTGCATTTGGGGAGGGCAGCAGTCTCTGTAACACCACAGTTGGTCTCTTCCCCCACCTCTGGACTCCCCCGCTCTGCCCTGCAATTTTTTTCATAGCACATTCCAGTCTCTGACATACTATGTCATCTCCTTATTAGTATGTTTATCAGGCACAGGCACGCCTGGGAGGGTGAGGGCAGCGGGGCTCCAGACCGACGCAATGAGGTGAGTCAAATGAACGTTTGGTTTCCCAGTGGCAATCAGAGTTATGCTTACACCATGCTCTAGTTGATTAAGCCTGCAGCAGCATTATGTCTAAAATATGATGTACATGCCTTTGTTACAAAAAAATTCTCTCTTGCTAAAAATGCTAACAGTCACCTGAGCTTTCAGCGAGTCCATCTTTCTGCCCGATGTTGGTGGCTACTGACTCATGCGGGTGGTGGCTGCTGAAGCTGGGGGGCGGGGGGGGGGGGCGCGGCGCTGGCAAGTTCTTTTTTTTTTTTTTAAAGATTTTATTTATTTATTTGAGAGAGAGCATGAGAGGGAAGAGGGTCAGAGGGAGAAGCAGACTCCCTGCTGAGCAGGGAGCCCGATGTGGGACTCAATCCTGGGACTCCAGGATCATGACCTGAGCCGAAGGCAGTCGCTTAACCAACTGAGCCACCCAGGCGCCCCAACTGGCAAGTTCTTAAGACAACAATGAAGTTTGCCACAGTGACTGACTCTTCTTTTCATGAACAATATCTCTGTAGCATGTGATGCTGTTTGACCACCATAAAACGGTCAATTAGAATCACCTTAGAATCCTTAAAAAAATTCTTTTCCAGGTGC